AGTCAGGAGGCATTAAATGCAACACTGAGGAATCCTGATGGGACAGCTGGGCTTTTACGTCGGCAGGTCTTTTGACTAATTATAGTACTTTGTTTCCACATCTAGTTACTTCAAAGCTGAGAGAAGCGACGCTTTTCTTAAACATCTCCTGATTATGTCTGAAGGAAACACAGACGTACCCACACCGAGTCCGTTTCAGCCTACATGCTGGTTCTCTATTTAACACGGCCTTTTATCTGCTAAACTACAATGGGCAGGACCAGCTCCCCGGCCTCAGGAGAAAGCACGTTAGAAAAAGCACATCTCTGGACACATGCACAATGAAACCAGCCGGATAGGCAGAGTGGCTGGCAGACCGCCTGGGTCAAATCAACCAGCCATGAACCAGCCGGGCACCTCAGCAGTTGCGCACTCCCTCTGAACCCCGTGTCCTCGCCGGTAAAGTGGAGATGATAGGAGGTGCTCCGGAGGGCGAAGGCGATGACGACGGGAGTTAGCATGTGTAAGGTGCGCAGAACAGGCCAGGCACGCAGCAGGCGCTGTGCTCAGCAAATGAACTAAACTCCCTGTTCAACGCTTTCTATTTTTGTGGGATGGATATTAATCTCTCTAAAGCGAGTCAAACTTGCAACAAAAAGATCAGGGATCCTGGTCAATGATCACTGCTTTGGCTCAGCTTGGCTCTCTCATCAACTCTGGTATGAATTCTTTTTTTAAAATATATCTTTATTGATTTCAGAGAGAGGAAAGGAGATAGACAGACAGACACGTCAATGATGAGTGTGTCATTGGGGATGGAGCGCGCAACCCGGGCATGTGCCCTGACTGGGAATCGAACCCCGATCGCCTGGATCCTAGGTCGACGCTCAACCGCTGAGCCACGCCCGGCTGGGCTGGTATGAATTCTTTTATCTAAACCTTAGGGATATATTTGTAACATTCTTGTGAATTCAAAACACACCTTTCAAAATATTTCAGAATTTTTCCCCCTGCTCTTATTTTTAAGACCTAAGACTGTCACGTTGAATTTTGAGTATCAACAAGGCAAAAACGGTAATAAATATATGTATTTTAAATTGCATGACCTGTAAACATTCTGTCAATAACAAAAAAAAACCTATGATTTTTCTATGTTCCCCGGTGGTGAGGGGATAAAAAGAATCTGTTTTGTGCCCAATTTAAGAAACTGGCCCAAACGATTTAATAACTGATTCGAAATAATGTAATAGCGGAGTAAACGAGTACAAAATAACAGTCTAAATTTAGGCGACGGTGAGCTGCAAGGACCTCAGAGCAAACTTGTCAACTCCCGAAGAAAGTCCCGTTGTTCCTTGAGGAATAAACGAGAACAAGCTTTATTTTTCTACGCTTTAAAGATGCTAAAACAGGTTCAGAGTTTCTTTTAAATTATTTTGCCAAAGCATTTCCCCCTGACCGTGTGTTTTTCCTCTCTACCTTTGCAATATTTTCTAAGTTTTTAAAAATAAATGGTGTTTGATTTAGGGACAAAACTGGGAGTTCCGCACAGATTCCAGTTTCCTCTTTTAAATGAGTGCAGTTCTTTGAGCTGAACTGGGGACATGGGGTAGAGACTTCGGTGTGTGATTACAAGTACACGCCCGACGGCCTGAGTCATGTGAGTTATTATTCATGCGACTTATTACTTAACAAGCAAACACAGGGGATTAAAATATTTTACCCGCCAGGTCCTGACTACAGGCCCCTGGGTTTTGGCTTTTTGTTGTTAGCTCACTGCTCCCAACAAGGCAGGAGGACAAGCTCTCGGGCTTCTCGCACCACCGTGGTGCTTGGATGCTGGCGCTCAAGTCCCTAAGCCCAAGCGCTCAGGCAGCAGGCGGCAAGGAACCGCCTTTCCTCGGGAGAAAAAAGATACCGAGTCCCTCACAGGCTCACTCAGGCCTCCCATCTAAGAAACTGCGTAACTAAGGGCCTCCACCGCCACGGTAAGGGCTGGGAAGGGCCAGGTCTGAAACGGCTCAGGCCTTAGGGCCAGGCTCCTGCGACAACCCCTCGGCTGCGCCGATCCCGCTGAACGCGGCCCCGGACAGACATGGGCAAACGGCCGCGGTCCGGGCACATTTTATATGCAGATAGGAGCGGGCCAGCTCCCTGGTTCGAGTTTGCTCACACCTGCAGTTCAGGTATGACTGATAAAAGGTGATGCTTTTAGCAAAATGAATTGGAAAGAGTTTGCCGATTCTTACCGCGGTCCTTGGTGACCGGTTCCTACAGCACGAATGAACCGTGAAACCATTACACTGAGTGAAAGAAGCCAGTCAGAAAGGGTCACATAATCCTTAGCCGGTGTGGCTCAGCGGTTAGAGCGTCAGGCTGAAGGGTCCCAGGTTTGATCCCGGCCAAGGGTGCGAACCTCGGCTGCCGGCTAGATCACCGGCCCCGCTCGGGGTGCGCGCAGGAGGCAACCCATCCATGTGTCTGTCTCACATCGATGTCCCCCCCCCCTTCTACTCTATGAAAAGCAATGGAAAAAATGTCATACAATCGCATATTGTATGATTCTATTTATAGGAAATGTCCAGCATAACCAAATCGAGAGGCAAAATACATGACTGACTGCACGTGGCTGGAGCGGGCGTGCAGGGGAGCTCAGAGATGCTGCGTTTCTCGGGCAGGACAAGCACCTGGGAGACGCTGGACTCTGTCTAACCCTCTGTGACTGATTAACTCTCTGCAGCCTCAGGTCTGGCTGGCTGACTACCCACAGAAGCCGGAAAGCTGCTCCAAAGATAACACGTTCGGCCCCACGAAGGAGGTTAATGAACGTACAGAAAGTTAGTAACTGTAGGAGATAACGAATGTAAGCGGAAGGACGGCTTGAAACAAATGTAAAACGCAACAGAAGCCATTTCCATTCCCTCCACACGAAACTTCAGCGTTGCAACACTTTCCTTGTCGAAACTGAAGTTTTAAGCCGTGTTCCTGACAACACGGTTGCTGTGGAAACAGCTGAGTCAACACGGTGAACCCACAGCTGACGAAAACCAGTGTGGGGCCGCGTCTTATTCAAACAGGGGCAGGACCCATAAAACAAAACCGGTGAACCGGGCGGCGGTGAGTCAGGGCCCCGCAGGTTTTCATGGGAGGGTCATGCACCCGGCCCGCCCCCCACGCCCGACACAAATAGGATGTTTCCTTTTCCTTTACATTAGGCGGTGGAGCCCTGTCATCATCTCGGCACCCCTCCCGCGGCCCCGTGTGTGTTTTATTACACGGATCCTGCTCGGCGCTGAGTTACTGCAGCTCGGGCCTCGCCGGAGCCCGCAGGAGCCACGGGCCAGCAGGACACAAGTCGGGGAGGGTTCTGAAAAACTCCGTGTCACTGATTCTGTTGAGCACAGGAGTACAGCATCCACCGTACGGCATAGGTTTCGTCTCCAGGTTTTAAGACGACAAACGCTCCAACTACAACATCTGCCAGGGAGTCTGAGTGGGCCCCCGGCCCTCAGCCCCAGCACTGTCACCAGGCCCCGAATTCATCCCTGCACTTTTACGGGTCAGTTACGAGTTTTCCAAGCAAGGCGGCAAACCCTCAAGACACCTTTCATGGCGATGGTGTGAATTACGTGAACTTTAAGTGTGTGCCCCTGCCCAGCCGGGTGTGGCTCAGCGGTTGAGCGTCGACCTAGGATCCAGGCGATCGGGGTTCGATTCCCGGTCAGGGCACATGCCCGGGTCGTGGGCTCGATCAATGGCTCTCTCATCACTGATGTTTCTGTCTCTCTCTCCCTCTCCTTTCCTCTCTCTGAAATCAATAAAGATATTTAAAAAATAAAAACAAGTGTGTGCCCCTAACCCTGTCCTCTGCTTCCCTTCCTACCTTTTAACTGGAGACAGACCTACTTTTCTTTCTGGTTGTTTTTTTTTTAATCTTCACCTGAGGATATTTTTCCCATTGCTTTTCAGAAAGAGTGGAAGGGGGAGAGAGAGAGAGGCAGAGAGAGGACCATCGATGTGAGAGAGACACATCAGCTGGTTGCCTCTCGCTCTTGCCCCGACTGGGGCAGAGCCTGCACCCAAGATGCATGCCCTTGGCAGGGATCGCACCCGGTACCCTTCGGTCCACCGAGGGCCGACGCTCTACCCACTGAGCCAACCCAGCCAGGGCCACTTTTTTTTTTTTTTCCACGCACACACTCGGCCAGTCTTTTCCTCTGATTTTCTGAACCTTCCAAATTAGAACAAATATTTTGAAGCCAGAAATTGTACCCTTTGTAAAGTAAAACATATTCAACAAGTTTTAAAACTCATTTATGTAGGGGGG